AAAAACTGAACAGTCATGTCAGCAGAGATTATCAAGATGACACGTATTTGTTTAATAAAATTCATTTAAAATATAATAAAAATGTGTTTCAAGGTGACTGAAAAAAAAAAAAAAAAAAAAAAAAAACGCCATGAATTTTTTCTTCGACATATTTTATATAGCTTTACTACTTATAAAATATTACATATAAAAATGCTAAAAATAATGAAAAAAAAAAAAAATTTCTTGTTTGCTTTATTTTCTCAACGATAAAGCTCGCTCTTTAAACGACATTTAATCGAAATTTTTACGATTAAATAATAATAACAATAACAAACAAAAATTCATTGTATCATTGCAATCGAATGAAGAAGCATTAACCCTATCATAATATATCATAATATCGTCTCAATGTCGTTGCATATGTTTACAAATTATGGAAATGATTCTTTTATGCATGCATATATAATCTCAGGAAAACTTTTCTATTTTTATGCAAAAATTCAACTTCCTTCCGTTTATCACACCATTTGTGACATACAACAAGAGATTTTACAAATGTGTTACTACAACAACAGCAGCAGAGACGACATTGTTATCATAAATATTTTACTGCAAAAAGAAGCTCATAAACAGCAAGCATTGCAATTGCTTGTGATTATGAATGCGAAACGAATTCGAACTACCCTACTGGATATATTATTACCTATTAAGGATGATGGATAATTGCGGCCATTATCTATTTACACAACGCTCCGAAAGGAGTTTGCGATTATATTTTGATCAATATCGATTTTCGGTTGACTGATTACAGACAAGTATAAGAAATTTGTATGCGATAAGCGTTAATCTAATCATCTCTGTCCGTGAGTACAGCGTGTGAGTACGCAGTAGTAGTACGAAACGAATTAAGAGTATAGGGAAAGATTTCAACAAATAATTTTAATAAACATGATAATCTCTGTCGTTATACACTAAACATAAAAAAAAATTAAAAAAAAAAAAAAACATAGACGCGCTTGCAAACGTAAATCATCATAATTGTTTTAACAGACACTTGCCTGCCATCACTAAATATATCTCCATGTTTATGCATACATACATATTGTGTAACGAACGAAACTTTGTCTACCGCACACAATGAGTATGTATGGCTGATTGACTGACTGATTGGTTGTTTCTGTTGCTTGCTTCCTTTAATAATTGTTTGATTGGTGTGTACTGAGTATTATGTCACGAATATTATTTTTCCACACAATTGTCTCTGCGAGGGAAACCTGTGGTGCATAAACGTAATATATACGACTCGGTTATTATATATCGAGGTAATGGGAGTATAACGCTTCTTTTTTTTTTTAACCATTCTTAAAGACTAGACGTGTACCGTATGCATCTCGCATCAGTATCAATGAAAATACAAAAATTACCAAAAAAAAAAAAAAATATAATTGGTTATAGGTGTATATGTGTGCGTCGGCGCGGCGTGCAGTAACTGTTCGTGGAGAAGAAAGAAATCCGAATGCATTCATATTCAAGCACGTAGCAAAGATGAGGAAATAAAAAAAGCACAAAAAAAAAAAAATAATAATAATAATAAAAGCGAAAAATTTTCAAATATTTTCATCAGTTACTATTAAATAATAAACGATAACATGACGACTCATAAAAATCCATGAAACTGAGATGATTTCAAACTAAACTAAACTACTTGATCTCGAAGACTCACTCCGAACAATGCAACAATGCGAGCACATTTTTAGAAAATGTAATAAATTTATGCTCCATCATCCTTCCAACATAAATGTACGAGTCGCGTTGCTTATTATGAATAAAAAATACATAATAAGAAAAAAGACCGCAAAGTTGTTGTGTCATTTTTATCACTAACACATACATAAATTCGTCCAATATCACTCGACGTACATACAACGTATTACGTATGCAAAGTATGGTGAGTGCTACATGAATCGGAAAGGCAAGTTCTTTGCCGATATTTCACCGAATGCATGACAATCGATCGTATAAAAGACGAAGATGATTCACTTAACGAAACAAATTTATAATGATGAACGATTTAACCGATTATAAAGCTAACGACGAGTGGGGTAAACACACTTCAAAAACTATCGCGAAGTCTTCAATACCGCCCGAACATTTCGGCAAATGAAATTTATAATCATTCAGTGCATGAATTTTTTACAGAATTGTTGAAATCTCAACTAATTCATTAGTCGATATTATCTAACGTGATATTTACTACGTTCTTGCCCATTTCCATGATGTGTTATCTAGAGTGTTATCTATTTGCGATTATAGCAGGCTTCATTCATTGATATCCTTCATTCATAGGCGTAACTGTTAATTCATCTATGTTAAAATCATGTCAATTTATAGTAATATTTATTGAAGTAAATTGAACATTTTTCCCTCAACACTTTCTAGGTTTAGCTGGAATACCTCACCTAATCGCTGATGCAACTTGAAACGTAATTTCTACAATTGATTCAACAATTTCTTTATTAGGTATCTTGTTTCCCTTCTTTATTATATGTGAGAAGTCTTAGTAAGTTAACGAAAAGTAATTACATCGAATTACCTTTATTAAGTAATTAATTATCGAATATGATAGTGCATTAGCATCAATTTAAAGCATTTCGGCTGAATATTTTGCCGGATTTACCTTATGATAAATACTGTCCACTATATATAGTACATCGTGTAAAGTCATCCAGCAAGTACGTAGTATCTAGTGTATGATGTACAATATATAGAATGCCGTATGTATGTGTATCGTATATACCATATAGTATACAGTTAAAAGTATATAATGTATAGTGTATATAAAATAGCTGTTTCCCGAACGGTATATATGCTATTAATTGCAAGTCCATTGTTGCCCATTCTCACGTCTTTCCACGGCGACCATTACAGTGCTCCCATAAAGTCATTGTCAAGTTTCAAGAAACAGTTTGGGCAATAAATATTGCCAGAGGCAATCAATTTCTTTCTCCATCCCTCTTCCTGGTGTCCATTAACAATCTCCTACTATGTGCTACTCGTGTATCTAATCGCTGCCGCAGAAGGCAGCATCTTTCCTCATTCGTATCTCGTATTCATAGTAAGTGATCAGGAAGCAATGAGATACGGAACAAACGCTGCACCGTCAATGACACATTAAATCGAGACCTCATAAGAGTATTTGGATTGGGTTCGCGCTAATAACGAAGACTTAACTCCGCCAAATTGAAAGCTGTCTCCTAACGCATCACCCTTGTCTTTTGGTGGTGTCAAAGGAAACGAATCCGCAGCCCTTGATTTTCCGGGAATGAGGATACAAAATGATGTCTGTTGGAGAGAACACGTATTCAAGGTCTCGAAAAACACACCCAGAGTTTTTAAAGCGAAGTAAAAAATAGTTCACTGCAGGTGATACCCGTACAATTTACGCTACCTATACCCTGCCAAAGTCAGTGCAAAACGCACACATATGTGGGCGGGAGCCTCCGAAGTTTAGTCGGAGATCTTCAACCTTATGCGGCGATGGGCTTAGATACTCATGAGCAACGAAAATGTGTCCAAAACTCGTAGTATCCTTGAACATTGGCGTAATGTGGACTGTGTTGTGTTCAAGTGCAGGTACATCCAGAGCAAGCATTCTGCCGACATAAAAGAGATTGTTCACCAATTATGTCCTTTAACATGACTACACTGTTTTCTTAGTGTTCTCACCCACTCGTCCTAGATTTACCTAGATATCGCACAACACATTACCGGGACTCTTTAACCGCACTGGCCGCATTTTGAACAACCTACCAGCACTACTCCCTCCCTCTGTCCTTCTCTTCTTATGACCCCTGCTGATCATCACTGTGTTCCCTCAGTAAAGTATATTAAAGGAAAAAAGAAGTAAATTTGCCCTTTGTAACGTACTATCGATAAAACTATCAATAACTACCTCAAGCATTTAGACAGTGCTTTAAAAAGGTGTAACAAAAAAGTGTTTATTTTTAAAATTTACAACTTCATGTAATCAACATCATAATATAAATGACTGCACTGGTACATTGTAAATATGCCATAATTAAGATTGACTTCCAGGTGGTAGCTGAAATCAATTAAAAGCAATTAAGCCCAAATAAGCGATGTTTCTTTTTACGGAGTGAATCGGAATATGATCCACTGGTTGTAGGAGAAGGGGAAAATTAAAAGATAAATGCATTCTTGAATAAATTTGCAATACAAGGAAATGTCTGTATAAATAAGCAGACATACATATATCTCTACATGTGTATGCACATATCATATGTGACACATTAACCTTTACCCATGTATCACTCTGATAATGGATAAATGAAAGAGAGCTTGCTTGTGTCTCTGTACATACGCACTGTATGTACCACAATATAAATTAAGAAGCATAACAATGCTACTGCAATACACTTAGATGCAATTTGAGCATCTAATGGAAGTGGAAGAAGCCAAGATGAATTTTTATACCCTACACCATTTATTGTATAAGGTACGTTTCATATGGAGTAATTTCTTTTTAAATTTCTTTAAAGTACTCCTATAACCTACGTAAGATTGGCCATGAAGAGTATGTGTTTAGGCGGAAACAAGATATCTTTTTTAATGCTTTATCACGAAAGTACATGGAACAAAAAACATTACGATAACTGGTGTAAGATATTTAAAGGTCAATGTTGTTTGATTAGGATGGTCTCACTTGTCTTTTCCATGTGAGATATGAGAAAAGGGAACACTAATCTGCCATGATAAGGATAGTAAGTTAAGTTATAAGAAGTAAGCAACTATTTAGAAGAGCGAATTAGGAGGATAGGAAGGCAAGATTTTAAATGCTATAGTGATATTTGTACATATGTAGAGTTGATATTTCACGCCCTTCGTTTGCTGACCTAAGAAAGTGAACATGGATTACGACCGACACAATAAAGCTCATTTAAAATTATAAATGTAGATATATGCCTGCTTTGCAAGGAAAAATAAAAAACAGTACTTACTTGAGCCATTTGAGGTCTACGCGTAAAATCACTGGGATCCATGCAAGTGGGATCCAAATACAGCACCAGATTGCACAATAAAACACCGTCACGCAAAGTCAAGGCCAAAACCCGTATTTCTGCTGTAGGCGAGTTAGCCACATGATCTGGTGGTATAATTTGACAACGAGTTAACCACGCAACACATTCATGCCACAAATCATTACCACCACCAGAAGCATTTAGTGAACCAACAGCCCCCACAACAATATTACTGCCAGAATTATTGCTATTGTTAGCCATTGTTTGCAGAAACTTGAGGTTTTGTTTTCTTTATATATGTGCATATATACAAATATGTATATATATATACACATATGTAAACATATATATATATATATATATATATATATATATATATATTTATATTTGTACTCTAACGTGCACAATTCCGGAGCGACAGGATTGAGGGATGCAGACGTGAAGAGTAGGACGAATGTTTACATACAAAAGGTATACAACAAATGTTACTTATCAATTTGTAAAAATGTATTTTTAAACGAGGCTATTTCCCAACAACACATCGTACACAATTTCTAAATTTTGGACTTTTTTTTTTTTTTTTCTCGTCTCTGTGAACAATAACAATGAGACTTTCATCCGACTATTCCGTTCGCTTATTTCTATATATGGAACTTTTGCACTCAATTATAATTGCAATCAATATACACTTCATTTAATAGCTTTATTTTAAATATTTCCCTTATTCCAATTTGTGAAACATTTTTTTTTTCTTATTAGATAGGCGGCACAGTATCACATACACTATCATTTATTTCTACGTCCAAAAAATTTATAAGCCATTACTGCGTCCATGTCCACCCGCAAATACGCACATTTGTCTCGTATTTATTTCTAAATAATGAAAATTTGTTTTATAAACTTTCCTATTTAAGTTCTCCTCGTTATTTCTCCGGAATTTTCTTTCAATGGATATCGCCAGAGTTACCGCGAGCAAAGCATTTTTCTCATTTTCAGGCCTTGTTTGTTTTAAGAGGGAGTAAGCATTTATATTGGATATATTAGAATTTTCGTAGATTTGCAGCAAATTTTAATTTATTTTGTTTTAATTTACGTTTATTAATATTTTTTGCATTTTTATTATTATTTGTCAAGCATGTCAAAAGCAAATACTACGAAATTAAGCACCTCTACGATATTTTCATTTTAAAGGTTTTTAAAATCCCTACTAATTATCGCCTATCGATAACTTTAACACTTTTTTATTTAATGTATTTGTGTATTTTTTTTTTTAAATGTTTTAATGGTTCCTGCACTATTCAACGTAAGGAGGCAATTCATCTTCTGTCATTAAACCGTCGGATGGTCGGATTGCGGAACCAAGTAAACGTTTCCGAGGTTTAAATTCATGGCCCAATGTAATGCTGGACGGAATTTCCCGACCTCGGAATGCGGCCACCTCAAATGACGGCGGTGGAGTAATTTTCTTTCTTTCTATATCCGTATGCCAAGCCGCTGAAATAGGTTTTACTGAAGTTTCAGCTGCTTTAACTTCAATTACTTGAGGTGCATTTTCAGGAACATTGAATGGCTTGTTTTTGTAATAGACAACTTCAACAACTAATGTAATCATAGCCAAGCCTAATCCAAATAGTGTTGCTATGAATACTCCACCTAAACTTTCTAGAGTGATGCCCTCTTGATCTTCACTTAAAGGACAATTCAAACGAGATCGATTCCAATATTTATCCTTAAGTTCTTCAAAATAACGATCCTTTTGTAATTCCAATAGAGTGTAACTTAATTCATCCTTTTAAGAAAATATATATATATATATATACATATATATATATAGTAAAATTAGTGCATTTTTCTGAAAAAAAAAATATTTCTTTTTGGATATACCGCTAAATGGCTGCCTTGTTGTATGGCCACAGCATACGGTTGTTCAGCAAATACTTCTCCAACTTCAGTTAGGTTACAGTTGCGCGTTATTTCGTATTTGATTTCCGCAGAATCGTGTATAAAAGCAAAATCAGCACTTTCTCGTTCATTTACTTTACGAAAACCGTCCTCGGCATTTTTTACTGGCATGGAACTGTTAATTGCTAATAATATATGACCATACTGCTCTTTAATAGGGTAATCCCAGACTCTACGTTATATTATTATATGAAAACTGTTAGAAGGTGCAAATTATAAATCCATGAGAAATACCTAAATTTATGAAAATCTCTAGAAGCATTCAAAGCTAATTCCTTCCACATACGATACAAAGTGTCTTCAGCAAATTTCATATTAATAAAGTATTGATGAGTATCAGATTCTTCAACAACTGTATAATTGATGCGTGATTGTCGTGCCAGTTGTTCCAATGATTGTACTGGAGTTTGCATTCGTTCTACTGTTAAGAAAGCAGCTAAATTGGCTGTGAACGTAGCCAACATTAAAACCACAAAAAGCCAATAGGCAGCTACCAAAATGCGACCGGAAATTGCCTTAGGAGCTTCACCACCGCCCTGAGGCGTGAAAGAAGTCAAGGCGAACCAAAAACTCTCACGTAAAGTAAATTCTCTAAAGCAAGAAAAGTTCACACAAGATTGTTGATGGCACCTCAATTATTTTTCTTTTACCTGCAGGGATATGGGTAAGCTTGCTTGTTATTTCGCGAACTATATGGTGAATATTTATCCATAAGCCAGATCATAACCGCCGTGACTATTAAAGCAGCAATAATACTCATCCATACTTCAAGCCGTAAGACGGTCATAAATTTAAACAATGATGTTTCCCGTACCGGCTTGCGCATTACTATGGAAATACCAGTTTGCTCAAAATATGGTGCGACAAAATCAATAACTTCTTCACGCTCCGAATACATTTTCAATGCGGTGACCGCAAAATCGGTCTCACCACTAACCAAATCGCCCACAATACCATCCCATTCGCCTGTTTCGGGATCTCGTTCGCCAAATCTGCCCTTTGTAGGCGAAATCAATTCATATTCAAAATTCATTTTTTCTGACAACATTGCAATCATATCGTTACAAAAGCCTTCCCAAATCGGTTTCCCCAAATAATCCAAAGAAATTTTACCAGTGCGCGGATCGCGGCGTTGGTAACTCCAAGGAATGGCCTAACAAATAAAACAATGAACACAACGAATTTCTTGCAATCTTTTAAAATACTTCTGCGGTTCCAATGCGAAAAAATCGTTTCGCAGGACTTATAGTTTGATTAAGTTTGCGCAATTCTCCGTTTTGCCAAGCAGCCAAGTCCGTTACCGCTTCGTGTGCCGTAGAATAGAAATTAATTGAAATGTTAACCGTAAACGTTAACGATGGTATTATTTGATCGTATTCATCTTCAAATTGCATCGAACTATCGGGTGTCATAAGAGTCATAAAATTTGTTAAAGGAAAATGATCTAATATGTCGAAGTTTCTACGAATTTCCAACTCGTTATTATCACTATGCTCAGTTTCGTTACATTCGGCTAGGATAGGTTCCAGCCAATCGAGATTTGATTGTCTCACATCGATCAGACTACGAAATATGTCCAAAAGTAAAGCACGCTGAATCTATATTTATGGAAGAATCAAGTGCTTGACATTTATTGAAAATTTTTTTATATAATAATAAATTATTTACGTTGAAACCGCTCAGACAATAGGCGTCCTTCATTCGCAATGACTTGCACACCGATCGAGCGTTAATACCAAATTTAGCCGCGTTTTCTGCAACCTTTTTGTATTTGAAAACACGATCTTTGGGATCAAGAAAAACGAAATGCCACTCAGGAGCGCGAGCAAATAACTTGGCTTTGTTAATCTGAGAAAGTTTTTGAATAAACAAATTAATCCTTTAGGCATCATTTTTAATAAGCATTTTTTTTTTTTTTTAAGTCCACACAAAGAAACCTCGCTCAAGTTTAAAGTCAGAAAGTTTTCGAAAAAAAGATTCTTAATCTCTTAGAAAACCCCTTAACGCTAGATTCACCGACATTTTGCCTCTATCTATTTCTAACAATAGATAGGAAGATAGGAAGCTAAGATTGGGCCCAAAAATTCCTTGAAAGCTCTTTATAAATAATCGAAACATATGCCTATATCTATGTGAATACTATTATGAATAATTGTCGGAATTATAGCAAACATTTGTTTGCAACTTAGCGGATACATCTCACATACGATTAATATATAGAAGACTTTAGTCGGGATTTTACCTTTTCAAAGATGGCATTCATATTAGTACCGCCGGCAAATATCCCATAATACGATGGACTTGGTCTTAAGTCGCGCAAACGTTTTAAAAAGTCCGTTCCACTACCGCCATTCAGCAAAAGTGTCCGAAATGGATAGCCTTCGGCGATTTGCAGCAATGCTTCCATCTCGTCCCGTTCGTTTTGCAGTATGATTACGACATCGTTAGCATTTTTATGCTTTAAGAATTCGGCAAAGATTTGAAGAAACGGCCGAAGTAAACGATCAACACGTAAGTAAGGTATATGATGAGAACGAATGTAGTCAAGACCGGGCTGCCAAGCGAAATAACTGAAATCGATGACAACCGAAGCGCCTTCAGATCCTAAAATTTCACACACTAAAATAAAAAAAATTAAAAAACAAAAAAAACATTCAATCGTTGAATATTATTTGAATTTCAAACAATGTGAAGTAATCCGATCCTGCTATGCCAAGTAAATAAACAATTTTATATTCTTTTCATAGTTAATTTAATTATTCGTTAAAACTTGCATTTATTCATATTTTGGTCGTCGTCATGTTCTTGTTCGATTTCCAATATCGAATCCGAAATTTCAGTTTCCAAATGCAAATCCTCGATGTCCTTAAGCGCATTGCTTAAATCATTATAAAAATCGCTCTGTACACGATCAATCCAAAATACTATATATGCAAAAAAAAAAAAAAAAAATTCAATTTTTTATTATATTTTATTTCAATCTCTTTCGCTATAAAACTTACAAATTTTCAAATCTTTCCCATTAATTAAGTGAAACTTCGCTAGAATGCCGATCAATAACTGCAAAGACAATACGGTCTTCATTGTTTTCAGTCATTTATTCATTGCTTTCGCTTATAACCGTAATTTGCCAAAGTAAGTAAGTGCTGCGATTTGAATATGTATTTTGTACACTATCGGTATGATGTCCTGCTATGACATATCACGGCAAATCCCTACATCATATATAACTTATGAATCATTAATGCGTCTGAGAGTTATTACTGTCATTGCTGTTTGCGGTAATTTATTTGGTTTTTTTTTTTTTATAATTTATCTAGTTTGCAATAATTTCATATATATGCATATGTGTATGTATATTTTCGATAGCTCAACGAAATCAACTAAAATAGACCCTTTTAGCTTAAACGATATGCCTTATTATTATACAGTGCAAGTAACATTTGAATAAGTTAAAGATAAAGTATAAAATATAATTGATTCACTTTAACCTAGACTGGCGAGAATTCAGAATACTGACCAAGTGTGAATTCATTCAAGTCAGACAGCTCCCGTTTATGTCTGCCCTAATTGAGTCACATTAAAATGCAAAAAATTTGTGCCGTCTTTCATAAATAATAAATTTATGAAGATTACCGATACTTTCGTGCTTACAAGTTAGCATTACATAGCTTAGGATTGCAAAGAAGAATATTGTGAAAAAAAGAGCTTTACAAGGTAACTTCTCCTAACCGCTTAAGTCACATTTTTTCGTGCATCTAAATGATAAGCGGAATAGATGAAGTTCGACCTCGTTCTGTTTGCCAAAGGTACTAAGCATATAATACAAAGTCAGTCTCAAGCCATGCAAATGCAATTTGATATAGACGTAGAGCAAGCATTTCATTAAACTATAATCGAAGAGTTTGGCGGGGTATTGATATGGTGTTCCTTACAATTGTTTCATTGCATCGCATCGCGCCAAGAAATTGTTCAATTGTGAAGAAACAAGCGCTCTTCACGACATATTCACTTGACCTTTGAATATCGACGCAAGACTCAAGACTTAAGGTATACGATATACAAACATTGTTACCGAAAGGTTTATTTTATTTTGTCAAATAAAATTAAACTGTTCTGCTGTTTACTCAAATTACATAATTTCAGTTGCCGTGCTTGTTCCTTTGCTGATCGGTGCTCTTTTAGGATCTAGAACCATGAATATTAAAAATCAATGCAATGAACTGAGTGGAAGCTTTTCAGATGTGGAATTCTACATGCTGAAGTCCTGAGAAGAATAAACTTAGAGCGTGAGCTACTGAGCTACTATATTAAAAAACGAAAAACTACACACGGAGTAATATACGAACTCCTACACCCAATAGTGGAAGGCCGTATTAAAGGGCGTAGAGATTTTTGGGTTGGGTTAGAGGTTTGTGTTTCGAAACTGGATAGGGCTGACGAAAATCGGTGAAATTATATCCACGGCAAGGAGTCGAGAAGAGCTTTGAGTTTTAGTTAATAGACAATAGTATTATGTAAAAAGTGTGATCACCTATATCCAGTAAAAGAAGAGGAAATAAGATTGTTCAGCCAACTGTTCTTTTTTTTTTTTTTCTTAATTCGAGTCGGCAATAAATCTTTTTTCCACTTCTCCAACTTATAGCAATTAGTAGAGCTGTTGAATGAACATCTCAAAGGGTTACCACAACAATGGGCTAATTGAAAGTAAGTCCTGTCGCTGCCTAATTAATTTCAACAAAGGATCCATTCATCTAGTGTGTGGCCCATAGGCTCGATGCATCCTTCACCATAAGTGAAATTTGTTGCATTTGAATATTTGGTTACTTCCGCCTCTCGCTCAATGAAAGAACAGAGCGTCTTTTTGAAGAAACAATTAATGAATCAAAAGCTCTTAACTATTACTACATTTCTGAAGAAGTTCTTATGACTATGAAGATCAGATCCAATGAGTTCCAGAGCCAAAGGTGAAAATGTTACGTTTCCGTTCTTTCCAAAAATACCTACCTATCTTGGATTTCGCACAAAATGTTTACTTTGTAGAATATCATAATCAGTCTTTTTCTTCAAGCCACATTTATGAAAAAGCTTCTCTTTACTCGGCTCCTTCATCACGTGACCACCCTTACAGTAGATCTTGAAGAGCAAAATATATGATAGGGTAGGATTAGGAATCCTTTTCCAAGTTTTCTCACTAATATTTCGTCTTCCTCTAAGGCAGTATAGTTAGCTTAAGTGTACAATTATTTTATCAGCTGCAGAAAATAAATAGACAAGAACTTCCTAATCAATAACAACGGCAGTAGATCTTTCGCGGGTGTCGTTCAAGGTTTCATACTACGTCCGATCTGGTTTAACATATCTAGTGATGACGTAGTTTATTCTTCATATGAGAGTTTTTCGAACTGCCTGCGCAAATTGTATAATTCGCCACAACACACAATTTCTAACAACTACTTATCTCGTGAACTCATTGTGCCTATTTCCGAGACAGAATTGTTTACCGCACCTCCGCACCTAAGACTCTAATACCACCCGTTGATGCTTTTAACTTCTTGAGTCTTACATTGCACACAAAATTCTTTGTTACACCTCATGCTAATATGGTCGCCCATCACTACTCTCATTTAACGAATGTCTTGGATACCTATGTGTGGCATCTCTTGGAGATGTGATCCTCTGTGCTTAATTAAAATATACGTAAACTAAAGCCCGAGTACACGGGTTGATTTTTTTTTTGCTGCTCTGGAGAAATACCGCTTGAAACTGTGTAGGATATGTCCTCGTTTACCGCTTAACGCACTCGGCCATACTCATATACAAGTTATGCCCTTCCACCTTCTATTCAAGATCCTATGCCGTTCAACTTTTGCCCTTCGTTTTGCCAAACCTGCGAAAATCTCGAAAATTTAATAGTTTCCACCTGTAATCAAATTTCTGTCTATAGAAAAATCTGCAACTACATCAGTAAAAGCGCAAAGCTGCTACTTAAAGCTAATTGACGCCAAATGGAAATATTTCTCTCACATCTCTACTGACGACTCCAGATCTGATGTCGTTGTCAGTGGTTTTTAGTTCCCAGATGTTAATATTCAGGTATGCTTTTCCATTTACCCTAACAGCTCTATTTTCATGACCGCATGCATTGCTATTCGCCTTGCGGCCGTGCATTGCAAAAAATATTTCTAATTGTCTGAGATTGTAAGTCGATTTTATTAGCTTTACAAGTGCTTCCCACAGTTAAAACTCATCCATATATACTAGAAATTAGATCTTTATTAGATCTTTTAAAGTGCGAAGCCTTCAATTTTCATTTTCTCTGGGTCATCCACGATAACATCATTACTGATATAATAGTATCCCCCTGTCGCTCGACAAAGAGAAAGAAACTCGCAATCGTACGCAGCGATGAAACACCTCAACTTTTGGCCGCCATTTACATTAGGTTAATTTTACTTACACAAAAAGAGCGTAATAACTAATCACCTTTTGTCTACACGAATTTTGATTCACATATTCGTCAAACTAAGCTTGGCAGATTGTTCTTGTGTCGTCTTCCCAGCCTTACACAATAACAATATTAAAAAAAACCAAAAGTAAAACATGTTTTTATCATTAACTAATAACAACAATGCATCAAAAATATTAATAATAAATCCCAAAAAAAATTGTGCCTTAGGCAAAAACACGCAAAAAATGATAACATGTACTAGGATTAACAGGTGAGCATGAAAATCTAATATTATGCAACAATATAAACTAATCTTAATGTGCTCAGACAAAGAACTTCGTGACCACATTGAGTCTCTGCCTTTCCACCAGGCAATTCATCTGTTTTGAATCTCGTAACATTCAAAAAGAAGACCAAGAATATTCTATTCAAGTATTGTTAGCATGATTTGTTATATTCACTCCCTTTTTTATAAAATTAACAACCCCGTGCTGTGCGATGCACCAGAAACTTTATTGATAGTTAATTAAAAATCAGCTGTAACTAACCAATACAACAAATATGTCAAAGCAGTGAGAAAAAAATTTTATTTTTTAAGAAATGAAATGTTTTTAATTTTATCTCTTTTTTAGGTATGGACTTATCCTACCTAATCAGCAGAAAAATGCGGTGTTGACGAAAGAAGTTGTAAAACCTTCCATATTCGATGAAAGCAGTAGTTCCGAGTCACAAGATGGCAGTGGAAGTCCACCGAAATTGAGGAAAAACAATCCTGCAATAGGTCCTAGCGGTCCCAGCGCAATGGAAAGGCGCATTGCTCGTTCTGTACAGAAAAAAGCTTTAGCAGAAGATCCCACAATATTCCAGTACGACGAATTATATGATGACATGGCGAATAAGCGAACAGAAGAACAACTTGCAAAATCTCGTGAACCGAGGGAAGCCAAATATATTACGAAATTAATAGAAAGTGCGGAAAAAAGAAAATTAGAACATGAATTAAGAATCGAAAGACAAGTACAGAAGGAGCGTGAAGCCGAAGGGGAAAAATTTAAGGATAAAGAATCATTTGTTACCACCACATATCGTAAAAAATTGGAGGAAATGCGCAAATTAGAAGAACAGAGTAAACGCGATGATTACCTGGAAAATGTCGGCGATGTAACTAAGCAAAAAGACTTGGATGGTTTCTATCGCCATTTGTATGAGCAAAAACTTGGAACCGACAAACCAATAAAAAAATTAGAGTTAGAACCTCAGGAAGCGATGTCATACAATACTAATACCGAACAAATTTCATACAAACCCATAAAATCAGCTAAAGCTGCTCCCAACAGAGCTTATAGGAAACGCAAATGCTCAGATGAAGATGAAAAAGTCGGTGCAGACGAAAATGGACGCAAAAAGGGAAAAGGGCATTTAACAAATAACATCGATGCCGATTCAGATTTTAGTATCGATGATTCTAGTTCCGACGCCTGTTCAGATGAAGACGAAAGCACTGAGAAGAAAGCTTTACCGCAACAAGTCAAAAAAAATGATAAGTTAATGCGAACTCCTGCTAATACAATTGCTCTAAATTTTGAGTCGTTAAAGCAGGTTGATGACGGAAATAGTACGGCAAAGGAAGCTAATCAAAGTGATGAAACCGCAAAAGCTGAAGTTAAAATCCCTGTCATTCTAAAACCCAAACGTAATAAAAGTGAAATTTGGGGTAAGCGTACTGTGGGTGCAGTTTTCGAAGACGCTGTTCGACGTTATTATGAACGTAAGGCTGCACGTGGTGCAGCTTAATATTTAAATTAAATAGAATGTACTGCGTAATTTGTTCGACTTGGATATATTAAGTATATAAATTTACGAGTCTTTTCAGAGAAGATTTAAAAGCTCCACGAATAGGTTACCAAAAATTTGATTGTTGTTGTGGAATTCGCAACAAAGGTATTATAAGCGTTTACAGCATTTTTATTTATTTTTTTATTATGTTTCGACCATGATCCCGTTGATATATTGATTAAGTTCTATTAAAACATCGGAACTTCTATTAGCGAATTATTGCATTTTGAATGTGGCGGTACATTTTACGTCTTATACCATCACCAATTACTTGATGTTATTGTCAACAACAATGAAGCCTTCCGCGGAAAATTGACTCAAATGATTTTAGAACGACTGGCCCTTATAAAATAAGAGCCGATAAAATCGCAGGGGCTACCGTTATCAATAACAATAGTAGCGTTGACGCTCTCTCGCATTTTCAATATCTGAAAGATGAAAAATTCTGTTGATGGTTTCTTATCATGCATGTAAATGGTTATGTACAAAAAAAAAAGTATAATGTGCCTTCGCCGCGTCGCTCGCTGCATATTGAAGAATTCTAAATTTTATATTCTTCACTGTAAACTCTTTCACTTTGTCCGGCCTTCTAAAAATAAATAAGGGTACCCTCTACAAGTATGTCCATTTCAATAAATATTTCAATCGTTATTTCGGTAGTTGTGTCCTTCCCGTAAACCGACTCTTTTACCAATTCCCATAAGATATAAACGAAAGTCGTTTTTGAAACTCGAAACTTACAAGTATTATAACTACTACTAACGTAATATTATTATTATTATGATTATTAATATATGTTTAGCCAGAGAATAAATTCTAAGACTAAAGGTATTACAGCACTACTATCTAAGGCTTTCTGCTTTATTAAAAACTCTACCGCACTTGAGATTTGAACCCACGACCATTGAACTTGCTAGTCGAGACTCATGCCTACTAGGCCACTCAGACGGATACTAACTACTAACGTAATATATTAGTTCGGTTTCTGTGGCCGAAGATGTATTTATTTCGGAACAAAGCGAATCGATAAGTTAATTAGTGTATTTTCCATTTTTGTCTACCACTTGTTTTCATTTCTCAGGTTATCCATATTTGGGTATCATCAGAATTGACGCACGGTTCGGGCAAACAAAATTTATCGATTGGAAAGGAGTAATATCCGCTGATAACAGCGAGGAGGATAGGACATTCCAAGTCAGAACTGAAGACATTTTCTGAGCGAGTTTTGCTATATAAGGTCGAAATTTTTCATACGAAAAATTCATAATATCATGACTTCTGACAAATTACGCCCATATTTTCGTTGCAATAGCGTCAAGTATTATTAGTGATAGTTTCATAAGGTTGTGAGGTTGTATTTAAGTATAACTAGCAAAGACACAACCCGCATTTTTTTTTACAGAGCTTTTTTAAGCCGTTAACGGAATTATGTTACACGTAGCCGCGGTGGGTTTTAAGGCAAAATATAGTTAAAATAGAACTTTTGGAGAATTTTCTTTACAAAATATAAGCAAAACATGACTTTATAAAAATAAATTAATATTTGGAAGGTCAACATTTTTTCACTATATCATAAATTAGGCTGATAAAGCGACAATTTGCTTAGCTAATGTGAGCAAAGCATGTCCTGTGAATAAATGAAACTAGCACAGGGTGTATTCTCTATTTATAGCTTTTCCAACGATTTGCAAGATATATTGAACTTTGCTCAGAGAATTTTTTTTATGGGACTTTGAAAATTGCCGTACTTAACATGATATTTACGAGTACTATACCATCGCTCATAAAACATGCTTTCAAATTTATGTACATTTACTTGCAATAGCTTATAAGTAATGAGCAAAAAACCAATTTTTATTCCCATTTGAAAAATAGGGTTAATCTCAGAGCTATTCTATGTGGTACTGTCGCTCATTTTCAGTAGCAACGTCCGTGCACGAACATCTAATATTTCCTAAAGTTCGTTATGTACGCATTCTCTGTTTCGTTCTTTCTCTCTCTCACAATTCCTTAGAAAAATTTTGAAAGTCTCAACATTGATTTTGAGCTTTGTTTCTCCAGTAGCTTATGTTGTGAAAACAAATTTTCAAAAAGGGTTTGAAGACAGATTCGAATTTAACTAGCAAAGACACATACCATATCTGTTAATAAAACTCTATGAACGCCGTAAGAGAGCTGCGTTAGATAATTAAAATTAATATATAGTTAGATTTGAAAGTCTACTCCGTCCATATTAAAAAAACGTAAAATATTTTTGTGGACATCTCATGAATCTATGTGAAAACACCTTTCAAACAAACTAAACAAATTCAAATTCTGCTTATGGGAATTTTTTTTAATAGTTTTTTTGAAATTTGGTATGTTAGCGAAAAATAGGTATGAAAGAACACCCGAATATGAGACTCTCATGCGGTCAAACTAGAAAATCTCACCTATATTCACCTCTTCACGTTTAAATGGATCCAGAGATCGGTTTAAAATATTTAAAGGAGTTTTGGATGGAAACAAAAAATTTCTTAGCGATTTAGTTGACATAATTTATTGCAACAAAAAATGTTCGTGAACTCGTCCGCAAATGTAGTCTTACTTGGAAGTATTCGAATGATTATTACGGTAGCCTAAAAGATGGTTGTAATCATTTCTTTATCCATTTAATTATCATTTGATGAAATGATTTTTTAATTTTGAAATGAGTTGGCCTATAAGCTAAATGATTTTCTAAGAATCCAAGTTCCAGCAGTAATAAAACCAAATACACATTTACGATGTAGCGACTGCGCTGCACCGAGGCAATGTGCTGCATCCAGTAATTGTAGTTGAGTGCTGCGCAGTCGCCAGGTGCAGCGTTATTGATAAGTTTAGTGCAGTCGCAGTTGGGTGCATCGGCCATCGCCAGCGGCCGTATTGTTCTCTTGGGTTGCAATTATTGACTGCAGTTTTCAAGATATTTGCGATGAAATTTGGTATACCGACATGCTTTTGCTTAAGGAGAAACGCTGCTGAAAATAGTATGGATCGGATTACTTCTTGGACCGCTTCCCATAGAATAAATTATATCATATCATCATATCATCAGTCATGTATATAACTGTAGAGGTAGGTTGTGTAGAGCATTTTATGGTGGACTGCGACCAATTATTGTTTTCTGTTGCAATTTTTTTATCAATAATCCACATAGATCTATCATCTGGTTTCGATTCTTTTTTCTCTTTGTCTAATTTTCGAGACTTAGAACTTCTTCTTTACCAAAACTTGAATTATAGATATAGTAAAACGATTAACGCCATTGAACTATGTGATGACCCTAACAATTGCGTTCACCAACTCATTTATTAAGCAAAAGTTTTGCATAGCTCTGACGAATGTCTCAATGCATTGTTATTATTTATTGTTGATAGGTTATGACTATCCGCCTTATTCTGAGCGGCCTTGTACTTGTGCCTTTTTCTACACCTCCATGTCTTAGCTAACTAACTTAACGCTTTATAAAACAAAGGGACACAAATCTAGTCCATTTGAGAACCAAGCCAATTTTTCAGGACCTCAATATTAGATTAGAAATTGACTTAGAGTCGATAGCCTGTGTTGCTAGTGCTCAATGTCTTTTTTTAGTCTAAGAATTCATTTCATTAGTCTAAAATTAAAATAATAATAATAATAATAATAGAAATTGACTGATTGTGCTAAGTGTGAGCGAGAAGAATGAAAGGCACTACATATTTCTTAACGGGTTAACAGTTTGAATATCTTTCTATCATATGACTAAAAACAAAAAGCATTGAGCGTAAAGATTAGAATAAATATGTTCGTATAAAATTGCAGCGGACTGCTAAATTTTCGATAGTTTGAAACTCCGTCCTTCAATCGATAATTTGCTCTTTATACCATACATCACCTGAGGTACAGGGTATATAATAAACTAGTGCGGCCGTATGCAACATGCAGAAGGGCTTAAAGTAGACCCACCTTTTATTATACCGATCGATTCGTAATTATTTTCTGGATTGATTTAAACTTGTCTGTCCGTCCGATTTTTTGGCAAAGAGTTAATGCTCCAAAAAGAAACTTTTGCAAACATCCGGGGGTGGCATACATGAGAGACGATATAAAAACGTCCTCGAACGTGCAAAAAGCTATGAACCATTATCCAAAGTAAATCATATGATTGGATAACTTATACTCTTTTGTTTTTATATTTCGAGTTGAAAACAAAAGCTTGTACGGACAAGTCGGAAATATGATTGGAAATCTTTCAGAATTTAACACTAATACAATGCATCATGCGATTATATCGTAAGCAATTTATGACGGAACTATATTTTCAAGTCCAAAGCCAGGAGACAGATACTATGATGACTGTTTGCTCTCCGTGACCAAAACAATAAGAAAATCTATGAGAGAACTGCAGAAATACTCTCACTCATCCTTGCACATATTGGCTTGTACGATAAGGCATATAAACTCCTTTGGTCAAATCGGAAGAGAATCTCTTTCACATGATCACAAAGTGTAATCTTTCAGCAATCTCGCGAGTTCTTATTCGGCAGTTGGTTTTCATCACTTTCAATTCGCCTTTCACGCATCTTCAGCATCGAGATTGCCCCAACGATATTTCGCAAGTCACTTTTGCTATTAACGGTCTGTCAATACATCTTTTCCCCGACACCTACAAGAATTCTTTTCTTGCTTGAAGCTTGAGCATTTTCATGTTTTCTCTATAGTAAAATCCGAAAAGATGCTGAAAATGCTGTGTTCGACTTTCGATATTGTAATTGGACATCAAACAAAAGAAATTGCCCCCAAGTATACAATGGCAATGCGGCTTAAGTGTCAACTTGGCTGCAAAAAAGACGTAATTAGCTGCTTGGTTGGAGAAGAAATGCAATGACTTTCTGGACAATTTAATAAAAGGCTTAATTTGCAATAAGTTGCAATAACTTTCGTGTGCGCGCGGAAATCACTCACGCCATCTTTCTTAAGTACTTTTGCGACATGCATGCGGTATGAGGCTGACGCTACTTTGAATGCTTTTGCTTTCTTCTCTTCTATCACGGTTCTGTTTTACAAGTCTTCAACTTTAATTGCATTCTCTTATAGACTTGCTGCTTCATCTCTCTTCGCAAAATGAGTGCAAAAGATGGATCGAAGTGCAGAATAGAGATATGTAGATATTAATAATGTATTACTTCGCTCTAATAAAATATTTCTGATGGCAAAAGCGAATAAGCGAAAAGGATCATTCGAATAATTTCAAATCGAATCGGCAAAAGAGCAATCCTTAGCCAATAACTGCTTAGCCTTTGCTAAGGCAACTAAGCACTTTATTCATTAAATTTTGTCGTCATGAAGCGCACTGAAATGATAGAAAGCGCAGGGGGAGCAGGAGGAAAAGAGGCCAATGCAACGTTTTCCTAATTTGTTCTAAATTTGATGTTTAACTTGAATGAAATTTGCTGCTATGGCTACTTGACCAACTGACTGACTGAATGATATTGATGTGAATATAATATTGTTGTCGATGATATTAATGTTTGAAGCGCGAGCCGATGCTGTTGGCAATTTACTTTATATCAAATAATTGCCTTAAAAATGAATTTTACATGCAATTCTTTCTTTCTTGCTTGCTTGCTTGACTCCTAAACGTTTTTGAAAAACTTTTAAATGTATTTATTACAGTTCACGTAAATATGTGCGT